TCCTCTGCCAGACAGATCAAAACCAATGTGCCTCATATGCCCCAAAAACGTGGCATTAGTCAAACGTGGCAATGTGAAGCGCCACTACGAAACAAAGCACAGCTCTTCTGAGCAAAGTTATCCCCTGAAGTCCGAGCTGAGGGCACGCAAAATAACCGAGCTGCAAGCCCTGTATGACAGATCTATCCGTCTCACCACGCACCATTACAGCCCAGCAACGTGCAAATGAAACCTTTTGTTTATTGTTTTCTGAGGATGTTGACTTTTTTACTTGAAGTGGAGGCCTTCAGTTCTTTAGGCTGGGACCTCTTTAATTTAAGAGATACATGTTATTCGGCTCTGTTTGCACTTTTTAAAATTTATTTTAATCCGAGGTTTTTGTTTTCTTTAATCTGAAATAAAGGCCTTAAATTTATTTTCCTGGGACTACTTATATATATGGTAAAACAGCTAGCTTTGCATTCAGTTAAACATATTCTGCATTGAAAATTGACAATAAGTGTTGTTGAAACCATGAAAATGTGGCCATAGGGGAAGACTATAAGACACAAACTGGACTTTGGTTCGGACCTTTTACTTGGAGGAAATTTTAATGACTGGACCTCAGTGACTTTTAATTGAATACTCCTGCTTTAGATGATGTCTGTTTGATTTCAAAAAAAAGAAAAAAAGAAAAAAAAGAAAGAAAGAAAGAAAAAAAGCAGACCTTGAAGATCCAGCATCTTACAGACATGCATTGCTTATTAATAAAGATTTTGGCTAAGATCCTGATAAAAAGGCTTTATTAAAGAATGAATTCCTTCAATAATATAAAGAGGCCTACAAACATAATACAGCTAGCGAGTAACAATGATGCACAAGATATCGTAGTGTCTCTGAGTTCTGTAGAGTTTCAGTAAAAAGCAACTGTACTTCTCTTTTAGACATTTCACCTCTCATCCAAGAGGTTTCTTTCATTGTAACTGACTGATGAGGAGTTTCAGATGTTTTTTAGTCACTCCAGCTTATGTGGCTAAAGCCCATAGTCCACCCAGGACTCACATCCCCCCTAGGATGTCACTCCAGGTGTCCCACCATCAATAACAGTTGTAAAGCTGTAAGTTTACACAAAAATGGCTCTAAAACTAGCAGGTTGAGGTGACTGAAGATGTTAATAGTGGCGAAACTTTCTGGGGAGAGATCTCAACACTGCATTATAGCTGTTTGATAACTGTTGTCACAGACTCCCATCTCTGTTTAGAGATGCTGAATCAGGTTAACAGAGGTCCATCTTCTTTGTTTCTCTGTCCAAAATGTGTGCATTGCTCAAAAATGTTCCTCATCCTTCAGATACAGGTGGACTGTTGAGTCTGGTGCTAAGGAGGTGGCTCTCTTGTGTCATACATTTGTGAAGCTGTAGTTCAGTCTCGCCTATCTACAGATCATGGCACTCTTTACTGCACTGGACTTCATATATAACTTTTCCCAGCTTTGCTGTTGGTGTTTCATTATCAGGTTCAACCAGTTTGTGTCTTGAGTATTGCTTGGTCCGAAGTGCACTGGTGAGTTGTGTTTTAAGAATTTCTCAGATACTCCATCNTGATTATCTTTGTTGAATTTATACATTTGTTTGATGATCTTAAACATTTAAGTGGGGGAAATATTTAAAAAAAAAAAAAAAAAGAATGTGAGAAGGGGGCAAATACTTTTTCACAGCACTGTAAATCAGGCTAGAATTTAAATTTCAGACGGTTGTCACTTAAGTTCTGACTTAAACCCCATTAAGAACCTGTGGACTGTGATGAAGAAACATGTCTGTGTCAGAAAGCAAACACATTTAGTTGAACTACACCAATTTTGTCAGGATGCGTGGTGAACGATACAACCAGAAGCTTGTCAGAAGCTTGTGGATGGCTACCAAAAGCGCCTAAATTAGGGGGAAATGGCCAAGGGATGTATAACCAAATGTTGTCATTGCTGCATGTATAGTGTTTGATCCAGCATATTTTGTTGCACTCCCGAAGACCTATAATATACGTATGAAAGAACCAAAATGCATTATGTTTATGTGTTTTAATGATTTCCGTGTTTTGAATGATTGGAAACTTAAGACTGCCATGATAAACATGGTCTTTACAAGTGTATGTAAACTTTTGTTTACAACTCTAAGTATTTTTTCCAGGAGAGACCAGTGTAGTTCTGCGCTCAGCCATGGTTCCGCTCATCTCCACCAAGACCTGTAACCAACCAGAGATTTACAAGGGCTTAATCTCCTCCTTGATGATCTGTGCAGGATACCTGGAGGGAGGAATTGACTCCTGTCAGGTAAAGCTGGTTCACTTTAAGATTTATACACAAACATTGGATTTGGGGGTCATCTGTTGCTATGAGAGGAGGCACACCACAACCAGAAACTTTGGGTCTAAACACAATTTCAAGCATTTCAGAGATAACAGGGTGGTAGATGAAGAGGTAGATACCTTGTTAGCTAAGACAAGTGAAGGACTCTTTGATTTTGACTCTTTCTGACCCTGCTTGGGTGTAACACTCAACCAGATAGCCAATCCAGTGAATTCCATGTCCAAGATGGGGAAAGTTGTGGAAGACATAAAAAGACACGTTGTAGGTGTCAACTTCAGCACACTGAAATGCAGCTGAATGAGGTTATCAACAGCCTCGAGGAACATAAAGAAGAGGTCCACAAAATAAAGATCTTTAATTTGTTGGAAGGCACAAACGGGTAACATTGCCAAGGACTTAGTTCAGACTTGGCTACCAAAAATCCTGAGTCTCATTGTAAAAATGATCAGATCTAGTTGAACAGACACCACTGTAGCTGCAGACTGAGCCAACTGAGCTGAGGACTGTGTACATTCAGCTTTGTGAACAGGAAGTAATGCAAAGAGCACAACACATAGGTGAAACCACTATCTCTCGAAATTCCATGAACTTGGGAAAAAATGTACATTCTGGAGGCAATTAAGTCATTCTGGGGATTCCTTACAGGATGTCATCTAATGCTGTATTCTAAAAATCTGAATGAGAAAGCTTCGAAGTCACTATTTTACCAAAGACAAAGACTGTGCAAATATAAGAACAAACCTAATAAATATTTGACACATCTGCTTGACCAGAAACAAAATCATAATACGACTGCAAGGATTAATTCAATTCAGTTCAATACAATTTTATTTGTATAGCGCACTTTACAACATATGGTATCACAAAGCGCTGAACACGGGAAAGCATAGACCTTACAAATTAGATTAGATTCGATTTTTTGATGGGAAAAGTCACTGAGAGGAAAAATATTGGTTCGTCTTTCTTTGGCTCCTTTAACAAATCCCTATAGAAATCTGCACTAATGAGGAACTGCACAAGTTTAACAATAACATAACAGCAAATGTCTCTGGGTTGACCCATTTAGAAGAAAAAAGTTTGCTCCCTAATTGGTTAGAGCCCCTGACCACTAGTTAAGCACTGACCAACATTTACCAGAAATGTTCCTAGATCAGGCATCACCAAATGGCGGACCTCGGTCCGGATCTGGAACAAGTGATGGTTCTGCCCGGACCCATGACCAATCTCTGATAAATTCACGAGAACAGATTTTCATGGAACATTTTTTCTCACGGTCGCAGCTATAGACAGCGGGTTAGGGCTAACCCTAACCCTAACCCTAACCCTAACCCTAACCCTAACCCTGCTACTCCAGTTAATACGGCAATAGCTCCACTCAGTCCAGTCAATCAAATCATTTGCTTACCCTGCACAACCAGCAGCTCCGTGGACGGTGAGTGGACAGAGAAATTAATTCTCATTCCTCTGCCAGACAGATCAAAACCAATGTGCCTC